ACTCGGAAAGATAGGGACACTCGTCGTTGCCTCTTCGTCATCTCTGCCTATTCTCCCACTAACTGCAGCTCAGATCATGTAAAAGATGAGTTTTGCGGAAAGATTTCTGGCCTACTCCAAAACGTTAGGCGCTGTGATGTAGTAATAGTGGCTCATGACTTTAATGCTCAATTAGCTGAACTAAGCGAAATGGAGCGACACCTGGGTGGATCTGATGCTGTTATGGCACAGAGAACAAATAATCACATGTGATATTTGATTAGCCGGAAAATATAATAAACTGAAAAAGAAAAAAAAGAAGTGATTTCCAGTTTATAATGACACTCCATACGTAACAAGTAACTTTTCTACCAAACTGAGATAATAGTACAACTTCCATTGTAAAAGTTGTCATTTTTGTCACGTTCAATACCAATAGTGTTACGACAAGTGTATGATGTATGTTGTTGTTACTTCACGTGCACGATGTGTTTGTGAGCGTTTCAATGTCTACATGCTGCCTTGTGGTCATATTTTTTATGCACATTCTAAAGATCTGATTCCTGGAGGTATGTGTGTTCCTTTATCTCTTTAAATTTTGTAGACTTATTTCGACATAGCAACCGGTGGCTAAGGAAATACATAATGGACCTGGTTGTTCGTGCGCTGTACAGCATCTCAATCTCTACAGGGAGTGATGATCTGCTAGAGAAGTTCACTAGCAACTCTCATTCAATCCATGCTCTTATTGAACCTTTGGCAATTAAACACATCCGTTCATGCTTCGAAGCATCGGAAGACATATGCGCAAAAGTGATGAGTTCAATCGGTGCTAATGATGAAGCTAAAACGTCAGAATCCATTGTTAATACAGAACATAGCTATGCTTCTTGATAACAAGAAGTTCTAATATTGTAATCTTTTTAGTTTTACATAAATTCATTTATATGGCCATTGACTTATTCTTATAGCGTAACGGCAGGGAGTGTACTGTGCAGTCTTATGTGGCTGTGAGACAGAGATATTGTTTCGCGTTCTTGTGTAATAATTACCAGTTTGGCGTACATGCGATTAGTCATACATGCCGTTTACCAAATACTGCTACCTTGAGCATGGTGTACCATACTAGTAGTTCGAATTTCGACTTGCCACGATAGATACGAATTGCCGTAATTAAAAGACTGATGCGTTATAAATGAAAACGTCTATTAATGTTTGAATCTAGCACAAATGATCCATTAATAAATAACTTCTATTTCTCAGGAATTGTTCCCGTTAGGTCTGTGAGCGCTTGCTAAGCTAGCTGGAAATAAGATAGATAGGAAAGTTATTTCAGTATAAATGTTTACCAGAAACTAGTATAAAAACGGAAACCAGTATTCAATTGCAGATCGAAAGTGCATTTAGCACACCCTTCCTTTGGATAGTCAATCACGCTTATTTCCTTTATCTCTTGCGTTGCTTAGGAAAGTCTGGGTCACAACATACACGGATTGTATTATTTAATTCTTTGGACAGGTTGCACTTCGGAAACTTCGACGACGAACATATATAAAGACTGCTGTGTGAATCTACTTTGAATCGTCCTGTGTAACCTGCAGTTCTTGATGCATATTCTATTCTAGTACCACGTAAGTTATGAGTAATTGTCATTTACGGCATCAGCACGTAAGCTAGACAGGCCTTGGTTGATGTCCAAAGATCATCACATAAGATCTCACACAATCTGGTCAACTTAGATCAAGATATCTTGACTATCGAGTCGTACTTTTCAGTGCTTTCTCGTGACAGCTTTATATCAGTACTTATTTCTGCTATCAGGTATGTTGGCAATAATACCGGCAGCCAAAACTTTGTAGCTCCACAGACAACCCAAAAAGGGGAAATAAAGGGGTAAATGCTTTGGTAGCGAAAGGGGAAAACGCATCAGAATGTCGCCTTTTTCGCCGTTTTGACGATAAATTACTCACTTTTCGCCTAAATGTCAGCTGAATTGTCTGCTTTTCGCCTAAATACACACAGAACTCCCTATTTTCCATCCATTGACATAACCCCAAAGGTCTCCTATGTTCGCCTTTATTTTCAGCAACAGACCAAAATAAATCTGCAATGCAGTGGAAAACCGGCATATATTTGAAAAATTTTATTTAAAAGGTAAAGCGTATTATTGTACAACACTAGAGCAGAAGCTTAAGCATCGATTGTTTTGCATATCCAATGCAATTGCTAATTCATTGTTATTTTAAATTATCTGCAAGAGAAGGAACAAGTGATGTATTATTTATAAGGAATGTGCATTTAATCAAAAGTTCACTGACACTCAAACACACATTCTCAACACTTCTACAGTTTCCCATGTAAGAAAGTAAGGTGTTTGAAAAATAATGTTTATTGAAATGTAGGTAGAACATCAAAACAATTGCACGGCTACTGAGAATTGAGGTAGTCGTCTCGTGAGTTCTGAATTAAAAAAAGAAAAAAAGTCACAACCATATCTCAATGACATGCTTTGGTACAGCCAAATACTTGTGTAGATCTACACAAGAGGTAGCAATGCTATCTTAGCTTGGTCTCTGGTAAAATCTCCACATAATTATACCTCTTCCGCATGATTATGATTTATTTCCTGCAATATAATCATCTAGTGGCTAATATATCTAACTGCAGAAGGTGATATTAACATTTTGGTATGTGTTATTATCATCTATAGCATATACATAATATTTACAACACTCGGGACACCTAATGTTTTCACTATCAACCTATTTCTGCCATAAAAGTCGGACAAAACAGTGAAAATCAGCCGAAATTGTGATAAAGACGGGAAAAACGCTAAATCTTACCATGGTATCGTTAGTTGTAACGCAGTTTTGGTAGCCTTGACAACAATACAACTTTTATGACGATATATGCCTCAATCATGCTATTTCATATAAAAATAAAAGATTTGTCTACCATCAGTGTATACTTAAGTAGAAATGAGTGCTAGTCTGCGATGCAAACACGAAAAAACTATTATAGCAGCACCTGAATAATGAATTTTCAAGGACTTCGCGATACCATGTAACGCAAAAAGAAAAACCCCGTTTTGCCCAATTATGAAAACGGAAAATAGACTTTCAAATTTATTCATAATTAATTTCGAAATTTTGTTGTGCACAAAGCCGAAATGAAAAAGTAGCGCAAAAAAAGTGTTGCGATACCCCTGGAGCGCTGCCGTACAAAAATCACTGCCGTTTTTGAAACGAGCGCGTAAGTAAATTGAATAGTGATGCTATACTTTTCCCACTAAGAACACATGAGGAGTTGCGTTCTTTAGAGGCAGCTTTAGAAAATCAAAAATACCGAGATCATTTCGTAAGTTGTAAAAGGTGTTTGGATAAATTTTAGGTGGCAAGGTTATGCAACCTAATGTGTGACAATACTCGGAAATCAGCTAAAGCTTGTCTTCAATACGTCCTGTCGCCAGAGCTCGCGAACACTTACACTTTGCACGTAACCCGAAGGAAATTCGGGATTAGTAAATACAAATTTTACTCCACGGTTCAAAGTAAGTCCACATTACTGTATCAACATATTTGTAAGTGCTTTGTGTTCACGTTTCCGGAGTGCAACCTGTTCGGAAAAGGAGATCACGCACGCCATGGCTACAGCAAGCCAGGCCTTCTTGCATGACGCAAGAGATAAAGTGCATAAACGTCGATGGCGATCCAAAGAACGGGTGAGCTAAATCTACGTATTATGTTTGTTATAATACATATGTTAACTTTGTCCCACATTGTTCTTACTCTTTTGTATATTGTTTAATACTACTTAATAAAATTCAGTAGTCATTTGTATTGCCAATAACTGAAGTTCAATTTGGGGATTTCCCCAAAATTCGCAGGATGTTAATTATCATTGTATTTATCACTATAATCACTGTACTTTAATTACTGTAACAGCTTATTACTTTTTGATCAATACTCAAAGTGATATAACTTGTCTCTTTTATGTTTCCCTTGCAGCTGGCTTCGCAGGCTTTATCAGACATAACTGTAAGTTCTTTTTTCGCATTATTAAGAACGTTGTTATACTGTTGGTACATCATCAAACTTTCACATATCTTGACACGTTATTATGCACTAAAAATGATTTATTTATTTATTTTTTGAACATTATCAATGACAGTTCTACGTCTACGTAAGGTGTTGCTGTTACAACGCAATAAAAAACTTTGTATAAATGAATCATTTGTAATTTATTAACTGTAATAAACATTTATATATTTCATAAATCAGTCTTTTGATAATCGTGATAAATCGGTTAACATTAGGTTTCATTAGCAATGCGCGATTGACGAAAAGTAATAAAACATCCCAGTAAGAAATGTACGTAAGCATTCTCCCTAGGTCTTCCGTGATGTCGATAGGCTTTCGTGAAGCTTTTGCGTTAAAAGTTTTCCAGGAAAACTTAAAGGTTTGTGGAAGCTTCCTCAAAATGATATAACTATCGCGTCCGTTTCCCTTTCACCTGGCTTCGCAGGGGATTTCCCCAAAGTTCCCCAGGTCTGCGGAAATTTTGGTTTTTTCTCATTTCCCCAAAATTTATTACAGCGGCTTCCCCAAAATTTCCCAAAAATGGACTAAATTTTCTTCAAAGTTGGGAGCCTGGGGCAGTATTCAGTATGAATTCATACTGAAGACAACAGGGAGTTGTTCATAGAAACGCTGTTTACAGTACAACAAACGTTTCTTCAATAAAATCATGCACTGACAGTCTATTTGGAAACAGTCAACTATGTGAATAAACTCACTATGACTTGAGATATCATCCCAGCGTGCAATGGTCGTACAGTGTAACGCAGTCGGACGTGGCGAATAAAAAGTAAAAACAGAGCAAAATTAACTACATAATCTAGTTATTTAATTAAAAATACATTATGAAATGACAAAATCTGTGGTTACTTGAAAGCACAGATGACCCTGCGCGATACATTAAGTTTACATGGTTGCGTTGAGGATAAGATCACCCCAATTGGTAGGAGCTTAAGGGCATGACTGATAGTGAATGAATAATGAAAGCAGGGAAACCATGTGTTTCATCATCTGAGAGTCCGTTATATTCATGACTAGTCTGGATATTAGATGGTCTGTAATAAAAGTCCTTAGTGCTGGATGAGAATTATTACCCATATCGTGAAGTGATTTGAGTGACTGAACTTTACATTCATTTTAATGAATTAGTAGTTCATTGGGATGTTTTCTAAGATGCACGATCTCACACTTGTCGTGGTTAGATGGCAGTTGAGTTTTATGCCACAGATGATAAGGTTCTTAGCGCCACTTTAAGTCTGGGACAAACTTTCACCTAGAGCCACAGGCTTAAACATGTATACTGTTTCAGCTCATTGGCGTATAAGTATGGTCTCTCAAATTTTATGATGGAATCATTTCTGCAAAGTGATACAGAGATAAATAGGTGTAGCATATGAGAAGTGCCTTTACTCGTAGTCCTTGTCTCATTTGGATCTTTGGGTGACAGTGAGTCATGATCTCAAGACCACGACCAACTGTGGGGAGATTGCAGCCAAGGGGTTAAGAGCCATATAGGCTTTAATACGGACATTTACTCACTTAATTAATACCGTATTCACCATAGCATACACAACCTTAGTGAAAACTAAGCCAGAAAACTGCGTTCAATTTGCAAGCCCCTTCTTAATTGATAACTCGGATACCTTGAAAAACGTACAGAAGGCAGCTACCCGTGCAACTTTAGTACTCCAAGGTTTACCATAAGGGGAAAAGCTAAACCTTTTTACTCTGTCCTACCGCAACTTGAGGTGATCTGTTTTTGTTGTATGGAATATCAATAAATGATTATGAATCCAATATATACTCCCTTTTTATTCCCCCTAGATCTGGACATCTCAGAGGACATAGCGGGAAATCAAAAAATCTAAGAACGGACAAAAATGCTCGTGGCGTTAAGGTTTTCACACTGAGTCATCAATTATTGGAGTCTGTTACCCGAAGAAGTGATGTTCGCCTCTTCACTTGACTCATTAAAGGAAATATTAGACACTCTCGGAAGCTCACTACAACAAAGAATGGCAAAAAACGCAGGCTTTCTGTTCTCAGTACAGAAATACAAAAGCTCCTTTTATCTCTTTCAGGACCTTTTTAACCATTCCAACTTCAAGGTCGTTGCTAGTCTAGCATTCAACAATGATGACCCAGACACCAGTCTTATTACTTATTTGCTTCATAATAAATTTTATTCAGTCAACTGTGAACGGTACTCACCATTCATAAAGTTTCGTTATGTCTAAAGATAGAGCATGCTTGTGTGATATCAGGCCATTGGTTTGTGACAAGTTCTGTCAATGTGACGCAGACTGCTTTAGTGATAAAAATAACTCGTTTTCCTCCTACATCTCTTTACAGAGGTAACTAACATCTTAACTTTATTTTGTAGAGAATCTTATGGTTCGAAATGGTGCATTCCAAAGGCACTTCATTTTTTATCAAATGCAGAATTTACTAGGAGTCAGGACAGTGAAACAATTTGTTTTTCCGATATAAACTGTAAGAATTACAGTAAATTATAAATATAAGATTTGAGAGGGAACTACCTGCAGTTAAGTCGCGGTGCTGGTCAGTTTGGGATGAATTCTATTTCAGTGACTACTTTAAATTCGATAAACGGTTGTGTAATGTATTAAGTTCATAAGATATTTAGCTACTGTTTTCTTATAGGCAGAAGACGATTTATGCTTAATCTATAGAAACAAGATACTTGAACGTTTCACATTACCGAGTGGTTCGGGATGTCACGTAGAATTTTCACCAAGTAAGCCCTTTTTATCTTCCATGTGCTAGGGACATTTTCGTATATTTCGTGTATTTGTTGAACTCTTTTTGACTCATATTTTTTGGGTTTGAACCGCTGGAGAAACCTGAGCTCTATTCCTGCTTTTCTGACTTGAAAATTCCAATTACTCGAGTTACCCGGTGTTGGCTCTTAGGTTAGTTTGTTCCTCACCTTAGTTTCAATTTGGAAAGGACAGGAGGCTTGATGGTCTGTGTTAGTCCTGGCAATGGTGGTCTCTCAGTTGATCCAACTTTCTTTTGAAAGAGTCAACGGACGGATTCTCAACCACGTGCTAAGGTAATGAACTCCACTCGTTGATGATTCGATGGGAAAGTCGATAGTCAACAGACAAGTAATTTGTCCTGGGTTTGTGAACTGATTTGGAGTGTCCTCGTAAATTTTTTCTCTTGCAAGACGAGAAAAACGAGAGCATATGAGGTGCGAATTTATCACTAAGCAATTTGGGAACTGTAATCAAGTCGCTTCTAGTTCTTCGATGTGACAACGGGAATAAGTTTAGCTTGGTCATTCGAGCATCATACGGGAGCTTCGCTATTCCGGGAATCAGCTTAGCTACTGTTCTTTGAACCTTCTCCAAAAGCTCACTGTCTTTTTTAGGCAGGGGCTAGCCGCCTGTATGCAGTATTCAAGTTTAGGAAGTACGAACACTGTATATAGAGTCAAAAGCGGTTTAGCGTCGAAATGAATAAAAGCCCTACGTGTTGACCATAAGGTTCTAAAACCTTTGGAGGCTATTGCACGGCAATGTGTATTAGTCTTTAAGTCTTGGCTAACGATGACTTCTGAGTCACTGTGTGTCTGGACAGCAGTTAGCTCAGTGTTATTAATCGTGTATGTGTCTGTATCTTGATGACCAATATGCATTACAATACACTTGGAAGTATTTATTGGCAACTGCCAGGTTTGAGACCATTCAGACAATTTCTCCGGGTCATTTTGGAGTTCTAAGCTATCAGCCTTAATTCGTGTCGCTCTCCATATCTTTACATCGTCAGCATATAGCAAGACCGATGATGATAGGAGACGAGGAAGGTCATTTACATACAAGAAGAATAATGCTGGCCACAACACTGTACCCTAAGGCACCCCACTAAGCACAGTTCCCTAGCTAGATAACTTTGAGTTCACCCGTACTCTTTGTTGGCGCCCAACTAGGAAGTCTTTTATCCACATCAGTAGATTGCCTCCAACCCCGACATTTCTTAGTTCATATAACAGCCGGTTGTGCGGAACTTCGTCAAAAGCTTTGCTGAAGTCAAAGTATGCTACGTCTACAGATAACTTTTGGTCCTTAAGAGTGAAGCAGCTTTCACGAGCCACCAATAAGTTAGTGAGATAAGAATAACCTATTCTAAAACTGTGTCGCTTCTCCGAAAGGATCCGGTTTTCATCAACTAACTTAAACAGCTCCTTCCGAATAATCTTTTCTAAGATTTTAACAACCACACCAGATAGGCTAACGGGTCGGTAATTCTCAGGTTTGAGTTTCGTACCTGTTTTGAAGACAGGACTTACTATGGCTTTTTTCCAGTCTTTTGGTAAACGACCCTGGGTTACTGATAGATTAAAGCATATACTTAAGGGGTTCGCGACAAAGTTAGCTGATTAATTTGGTAGCCTAGGGTGTAATTCATCGGGCCCCGTGAATTTACCTAGGTCAAGCTTACTTATTAGACCAAAGATATCGAGTTCTTTAATGGTCACGCTGTCCAGTGTGTGTATGGGGGGATTTGTATGGACTGATGGGGTATTTCTATGGTACATACATTGCTAAAGTAGTTTGAGAATACTTGAGCCTTACCAAAGTCGTCCTCCACTAATGATGAGGCTGTAGCTTTCTGTAGGTTGCTTCGATCGGTGGTTCGAAATTCTGATTAAGAATACGTGTTTTTCTTTGCTCTGCATGACTCAAATTCTATGAGATCCTTGAAATATCACTACCTATCTTCGGAGAGTTGTTCTTGTCATTTATAATCCCTCTGACACTTATAATTAAGCCCGTAAGACCGCCTAATGGGACAAAATTTCTCTGGCTTGACTTCGTCACGCGTGTATGCAAATTGTAAATTATCGATGATTCCTATCCTCATAGTACCAGCGACTGAAAATTTACAACGTGGAAAGATGAACTCATAGAATTTTAACCTTGGTATATCTCAAGCCTAGATACTTTTGTAAAAACCTCTGTCCAGTATTTCTGTGGAAACTATGTTGTTTGTTGGTCCGAATGCGGCTATTACGTTTTTGAATGAGGGTTTTATTTAGAGATAAGTTAGTAGAATGACTGAAGTGATAATAAGGGAATAGTACTTAGTTTTTTACTAGTATTAAATTTCACCATTAATGTTATCATTTTTAGATAAGACATATAATGTGTTGTCACAACAGGTTTCGCCAGTTATTCTCATGAAAATGTAAGATCGCCATTTATTCTGTAAGAAAATTCAAGGAAAAATATAAATTCATCTACATGCGCCTCAGACTGAAGGATTAATCCTCACTAACTGTATTCGTTCCGTAAAAGTAGGGACTGACGGTTACCTCTGAAGAATTACTAATCAAGTAAATATTTAAAGGGAGTATAGTATTAGTATAAATTACTGAGACACAAACATCAAGAATTCATGGTAAAGTTTACCCAGTTACACCATTCTTGACCTATATTGTGTTTTTGGTCCAAACATCAAGTATTTCTAAGCATTTGATCACAGATACTTTTTGAGCGCTGCAAGAGTTTGTTGGAATCAATCACTGAAAAGATGGTGTTCACTATACAGTTGAATTAAATGATGAAAGATCCTTTATGTCCGAACAAAAAATAAATGAATGATAGCTGCTAGAAATTATTTATGAACTATTATTACATATATAATTATTGAATAAATACTGAGTAACCAGATTATATATATATATATATATATATATATATTCTTAATCTTTTTTATCATAAGCCTTCATTTGGCCCATTGGTTACTGTCACACGATAAACCATTCTCACTTCATTCCCGATTTATTATTTACAGTCTTCAATACTCACAGCCACTTCTTTTTTATTCTGCATAATTATTATTTTTCACCGTATGGTGTGATGTGGTCTGGTCTGCTCGCAAATAAACTACGTATGTCTACAATATACGATTCACACAGCAGGGGCTGATAATGTGTTGTGGACTGAATAGGCTGTGCTAGTTGAAAAGTTGCTATACAGAGGAACAATAAGCACTCAGCGTTGACCATAGGTTGCTCGTGCTGGTTAATGCATCATTGGTTTAGCACAGGGACAAGGTCTTAAAAATCGGTATTCTGATTGGCAATTTTGCCATTTGATATTTACCGAGCCATAGAACATAACGAGAACTTAAATGATGTGATTAAAAACCAGTTTCATAGCTTTTAGCGTATTTAACCTTCGTAATCTTCGGAATCTTGAGTTCAGTTTGAATTGGCAAACTTTCCGTCCCTAAACTTTATTCGACTTTTCCAAGCCATTTCTTAAATGCTTAAGCCATCATTAGTACCACCACTATTTCTGTATTACAACTTTGCATCTTCTGTTTTTTTGGATGTAAGTTGTGTAAGTTCAAGTAAATACATACCTGTTTATAACCAGTTAACTGACCAAAAATGTCTGAATTGTGAGAAATATTTTGAATTATGACTTAAAAATTTATTTTAGAATTCCTAAACAACATAACAACCAAGTGCACTCGCACGTTGAGTTTTAACGATAATGGTTCAAGTTGCACACAACTGCCAAGTGTCTTAATGTACACAGATGGATTAAAGTTTTTACGACTACCGATATCAAAGCTTTTTAAAAACAAGAGCATTCCTTTGGAAACAGTTATGGCCAGTAATAATACGATTTCAATTCGTTCATCTATTTGTAAGAACTTAAACAATGACGTAATACCCTGTCCAACATCTCCATCGTCACTTGATTCAACCAGCCAAGCGTGTATGTATGCAATCATGGGAGTAAGTTACCAGTCATGATGTGTATTTGCTTCTTATCATTGTTTTTCACAAATGACATATATTTTAAGGTCGAAACTGACTTGCCAATTGTTCTCTGACTACAAAAAACTAAAACTCCTTCCTATAAAAATTTCTATATTCTGTAGAAATCTTGGATATTGAATGATTGATATATGTTAAAGTAAAAGATGATGTATCATTCACCTTTCCTTTTCAGTAGTATGCTATATCATGAGCATTTCTGTCCGACAGTTTGTTACTTAACTGAATAAAATCGGCAGGAAGTCCTGTATTTGCGTCAATTTGTGTGAATTGACGCTCAATACCTGGGAATCTATTTAATCTTTAGGAGATAGATGTTATGTCCCGATAAGCACAATGAATGGTAACTGCTGGGATCTATTTCTGGACTAATACTATGCGTATATTTTTATCGTACAATTGTTAAGTAACTAAACTATTCATATTCGTGTTCCTCTTATCATAAGCCTTATTTTGGCTTATGCACTATTATTATACGATTTACCGTTCTTGAGTTATGTTCAGTCTATCAATTACTGTCTCCCTTATTCACAGCCAAATTTGGCTAAATCTTCTACAAATGTTGTTCCCCATTTTATGGTACGATGTGGTCTGTTTGCTTTGCATATAAACCTAGTATGTTTGAAATAAATGATTGATATCACAGAGACGGTGTTCTGGACTTAACTGGCTGGACTAGGCAGGACCGATAAGTACTCTAGACTGCTCGTACGGGTTTTATGCGTCATTGGTCTGGTCGATAATTCGCTGCTCTCTAACTGGCGGTATTATCACGTCATACATTAGCAGGGTGCTCAGGCCACAAGTTATGACAATTGGCGACGGGGTGAAAACGAAAAAACTAAGGACACAAAACCACAAGTTATAACAATAGATGTATTATATAGTGCTTAAATCTGTATCATCCAGAGTTACAGTCAGTGACATCAAAATTGGTATATTTGTATAAATTATGTATAATGGAGTAAATTTATAATGCGATTTTTATTTCTATGCTATTTTGTTTTCTAAATCAAGGTGAAGTTTAGTATTATTTATAATGAAAATGGTATAACAGACATCTCAGTTGAATTTACCATTACAAATGTCACAACTACAAAATTTAATCAGTTTCACACAGTACAATTTATTGAAGTAAGTTCTAATGAATATTCTGCTTAAACGTTAATTAATAATTACAATTAAGAATACTGTCTGACTGACAGTAGGTATGAATTATGTTTTATAATCAAGTCTGGCGAGATTATAATTTATAGACGAACCAATCAGGTATAAGAAAACATGTATCGGAATTCGGCGCGAAATTCACTCAAACATTTGGTTAGGTAGAGTCTTAACGTTATAGCAGATGTCAGTTCGTAATGAGAACCCTAAATCTAGTTCCTAACCTTGACCATCAACTGTAAATCATAATTCGAATTCCTCACACTAATTTATAACCCTCATTTGGTCCTAGTCATCAGGTGGACACTCTCAAGGTCAATCTAGCGTCGCTCAAAGGTCATCCATAAATTATAGTCTCACCGTCAAGTGAATCATTAAAACTGTATCATTCAATCAATTATTCTTTAAAAGACATCTCATCATGTTTACTGCTATGTACCAATTAATATGTGCATAAGTATGTCATTTTGAACTTTAAGAAAACCGCTGATTTTGGTGTTCAGTCTTTTAATAACAGTCCATTTTTTTACACTACTAGATTAGTATGGTGAACAGGTGTTATTTGATTATCATTATGTTACCATCTATTAATCAGGATTTCCGTCTGCTATAATTTCTCTTATTATGACCTAACTACTCCTATTGCTTAGTACTCCTGGATACTACTTCACTTGACAAGTCACCAAATCAGAACACGGTTGAACAGGAACGTACTTATATGTTTCAAAGCTTAATACTTTGTCAAACAAGCTTGAATTTCACTCATATTTTGATGTTAAAAATCGGATAAGATTCGTTAGATAAAACTATGTAAAATTAATTATGAAGATGTAAAATCTGCTTTTTGGGATAAAAATAGGTGATTTGATGACTATCAACGATAAGTTTCCAGTTTAGCGTAATTTGGAGGTGACCTCTCTAACAAATTGACATTAACTAGAGAAACATTTAAAACTAAAAATCACCGAAAAGCTGATTTATTCTATCGATGTCATGGCTTCATTTATTTAGATGTCTCCAGGCTAAGGCTCCTTGTTTTTTTTTTTTTCAATAAATTTCCAGTTAACAGTGACTTGCTGAGAAAACCATCTTGGTGAAGTTTCGTTCACTGAGCTGGACGGTTTTATCAAGAAGCTTCCAATTTATTTCTAAACATCATCAGCATAAACTTCGCACAGAAGCGGCCTATTTGAATTTCTTCATACATGATTAACAGTTTATTTTGTTCACATAAAAAAAATTATTGGTGAACGAAGGCTTCACAATTAAACCACTCAGCTCAGAAATCAAGGCAACACCATCATCTTTCTAAGCTACAAATCTTCTCTAGAATTAATCCCAAGTTAAAATGATTTAAGTAAAAACAGTGTTATTGTTAAACCTAATGACGTCAGATTTACAGTTTACCGACCCAATCGTTGAGTTTCTGTTATTGTAGAGGAAGAAAGAGAAAGGTGAAATACACTGATTGTAGTCGAATCTTGTTTTCATAGAATGTAAAAGCAGGTTTCAGTATGGTTCCTAACGGAACGGAAATAAGGGCGAAACTCTAATTTATGGACGACCTTTGGACGAATCTTCAGTGACTTTGAGAAATATTAGCCAATCAGCAAACAGTCAGTACAGAGTAAAAATATGTTATATAAAACCAAGGAAATAAAGTGGATACACTTCTTGCACGTGGCTGAAAATTCTGTCAAGATTAGAAAGAGGTTCAGGGGTTCTAAAATCGTAATGCATGCAGTAAAGGAAATCATCCATACGGCTACAGAATAGTCGGCCTCTGGAGCCATGATAAAGTCTCAAAAACTCTTTCAGCCTCGACCACATAGCTTCAATATTGTTTATGTGAGCTCAGATTGTTGAGTGCACAAAATGCTACTTGTGGATAACGACACGATGCACATAACCAAACCTATGTAGGAGTCTGTACACTCTCCAAACATCCGTATATATTGTAGTACCTGGCTGCAGCCAGTGTTACTGGTGCTTTTATTATCCAGTTCGTGATAATTGTCGTAATTTACCTTAGTTAGGAATTATATATGGAGTTTTCATCACGAACTGACATTAGCCAGAAATTTATTTAGCCAAATGCATGAAAGGCTTTCGCATTAAAATCCGAGATGTATTATCTTGTACCTGATTGATTCGTCCACAAATTATAGTCTCGTCGTTTTATTTGTTATAGCCGCTCAATTATCACGTTTTGTACAAAACTCCCCGTGAACCGATCGTACTTTAGCATTAAGCACTGAAGTTGGCGCTGTAACCTTGAAATCTCTAAAACGCCTCTGATTGGCTCGTCCATAAATCAGAGCCGCGCCGAAATAAGTTCTTTCTTTGAATAAGTGGTTAATTTTGGCTGTTAAACAATTATACGTTATCTCTAGGTTGTGTTCATCGCGAACTCCAAGATTCTTGTTTCTATCTTCAGTGGGGCTGTGGATATGCATTAGTGAATAGTCTCATACTATGACGAAACAGCTATTCGGTGCTGTCTGATTTTCAATAGTTGTTAAACTAATATCAGTTTATCATGTAAATGATAAAGTTTAACAACCTTTACAAATGTCTTACACTAATATTAGTACCTGTCTATTAATTATTTACACTTCCACATTTTGACCAGTAGACTTCGATTAATAGTTAAGACTAGAATATTCTTATTGAGATATTGACAGTATTAAGTCTTGTATTTTTAATTGGTAATATACAAAATGCTAGATTATCTTCCTATTTACCTTGTTTTCGTATTCAGGAAAACAGTTTATCCAATACAAGTACATTAATAGCTACTGACTATCTAAGCGGAAATCTAGGTTACCTAAAAAATTATCCTATTCGAGCTGGTTATATAGAAAATAATAATAATACTACTACTCCATATATAGTAATGATATCATACCCATTAAATCCAACATTATATCCAAATGAATATGGTCGAATTAATTTTGGCTGGTGGCCTATACCGAATATTGGTGATTGTACAAATTTTGCTAGTCAAAGTAAAACAATATTATTTGGACAAAACACTTTTAGTTCCTGTGTGCTAAGGTGATGTTTTTTTTTTCTCTTCTTTATTTATATTTGACATTTCTTATCATAATTTCAACTAAAGGTTTATCATTTTTCTAAAGTTCATAACTGACATAATAGTTTGTTCATTGATAACAATCAGCTTATCAACTATCATAGAGAGTAACCACATAAAGCTTGAATTCAATCTTTTAATTTCCTGTAACTTGTTATCCATCAAAACAATATCATTTTTTCTGTTATAATTTGTGCCCTGTGTTCTATGGAATGTATAACGTAATGATACTGCCAATAAGAGAACAGCGAATTATCGATCAGACCAATGACGCATAAAACACGTACGATCAGTCTAGAGTCTTTACCGCTCCTTCTTCCTACCTAACCAAGCCTTCTAAGTTCAGAATATCAATCTCAGCCTCTACGATATGAATCGTTTATTTCAAATATACTGGGTTTATATACTAACCAGATAGACCACATCGAACCATAAAATAGGAAACAACATTTGTACAAGATGACGCCAAATATGGCTGCGAATGTGGGAGATAGTAATTGATAGATTGGGCATAACCCAAGAACGGTAAATCGTATAATAATAGTTCATAGATCAAAATAAAGCTTATGATAAGAGGAACACGAATATGAATAGTTTAGTTACTTAACAATTGTACGATAAAAATATACGCATAGTATTAGTCCAGAAATAGATCCCAGCAGTTACCATTCATTATTCTCATAGGGATGCAACAGTTTCTAATACAAAAGTTGTAAATACTGTCAATAAACGAGTAAATAATGAACTCTTTAAACTGTTAATCTAAATAGGATTACGAACCCCATCAGAACACTTTCCTGTCTTTATGTAAATCACTCAGATGAATTGAACATTTTAATGAAACTAGAGTGAAAAATAACTATTCGACATTGAAAGAAAGTTGAATAACATGGAGAATTGATCAAAGTTAGAAAGATTAATCAATCAGTGCCGTCTCGATGGTCCGATGTCATATGGTGTCATGGATGCGCATTGTTAAAGAGTCTCATATAAAAATGAAAAAGCTGTCTAATCCTTCCCGGTTCTAGGTGGTTGTCTAAGATTTATCTTCAATGTAGATTGAAACAAGTAAATTGTCTAATCTATTAATAATCACTCATTTGTATTACTACGGTGGTAGGATTTGAAAATCTAGTTCGAGTCACTGAATTTAAACCAGCTACCAGAATATACACCATAAGAAGTATTAATTCACTAACCAATTCAAATATGTCCTATTGATGAGTGTCAGCTGACGCGAAACACCAGATCCAGCACTTTGTAAAAGTGACTTTCAATAGCCAGAAATACTGACAGAAATATTGATAAGAGCCAATAAAATTCCCTGTTGACTAAATATTTGCTGAGGAATTCTAAGCTTTCTTTGAAAACAGAAATAGTAGGATTGCGCCATGACCAAGACTTAACTTCATTATAATAAATTGAGTAGATTATTAACAAGAAAAATATATTTGTCAAGTTCTGATGGGTAGAAAATTGGAAACAATCATAGATTTACAATCTAACCTTTCAGCCCAGTTAACACATCGTTAAAATGCGATCGAGTTTACTATCAGTCAATCAAACGCAGAGTCTGGCACACATATACCTGTTCAAGTTGCCATACCATATCAGTGCAGCAATATGAAATTATAGATAGATCCCATAGTAGTAGAAGTCGTGATATTACCAGTGGTAGTGGGAAAGGTTTGACATAGGCTATAACATTCCAAGATAGAATAAATTTGCAGATTACAAATAAGATAATTTGATGATCGAAATCAAGGAAAAGACTAGGAGTGAATGCGTATGGGCCGATCCTGAACTATGTCACCCGAAATCTCTAGCCATTGGTTCCGATGATCATGTGGACACCAACTATGGTAGTTTGGACACTCCAACACGACCCAGTCAAATAATCAATGATTTCACTAAAGATCATGTCCAGCTATTTAACAATCAGTTCGTTGCATAACTTGTGACAATAGGGTTTAATCAATTATTTTATTGATATTTAACAACCAAATAATTTGTAAAGAAAAAGCACCTCTGTTTAACATTGGTGTTCCTTTTGTAGACTAAAGCCATTGCGGGAAAATAATTATACAAATTGTAATGAACTGGAACAAGTCATTAGTATGTCATTAAATTGTAAAAAATCACCTATTACTCATGTCGGTATTTGGGGCAATGCAGACAATAAACAGATAACAGATTGGATTAAAGCGGATGTATTCAATGAAAAAAATAACATTGTTTTTTCGAATGGAACAAAATCTTGGTAAATGAATAAACTTTTATTTTCTGAAAACTAAGTCACACTTTCTTTTTTCCTTCATAGAATTAATTTATTTGTCTTAACAACAATTACTATTACTACTTTCCGTAGGTACGGCATGTGCTTTGCACCTTCGAGGTGCAAAGTAATTTTGCAAGACTGGTAAGATCCTAATCCTGCACACACCTTGTGTGATGAGCAGATAGAAGTAGTCGAGAAATTCGTGTATCTAGGTAGCTGTATAATTGCTGGTGGTGGTGTGAGTGATGAGATCAATGCACGTGTAGTGAAAGCCAAAGTGGCTTATGCCAATCTGGGCCATCTTCGGCGCCTTCGTGATGTTAGTTTTGCCGAAAAACGTCGGATTTACAACGCGTCGGTGAGAGCAGTTTTGCTCTATGTTTGTGAAACCTGTACTTTCCGAGTTGAGGACGTTAGACGATTCTCTGTGTTCGATCATCGTTGTCTCCGAAGGATTGCTGACATTCAGTGGCAACACCATGTCAGTAATGCAGAGGTTCGGCATCGTGTGTTCGGGCACAGAGACGATAATGCGATTGGCGTCACCATCTTGAGACATCGACTTCGGTGGCTTGGACATATTCTACGAATGTCGTCCTACAGAATTCCACGTCGTGCATTATTTGCCGACTCTGGGACTGGTTGGAAGAAGCGGAGAGGTGGTCAGTATATGAGATGGTGTCGTGGTATGAAAGAAAGCTGCAAAGGACTGGCGTGTGTTGGTCCTTCACGACTCCCTGGTTGGGGTCCGAGAGATGGTGCTACACAGTGGCTAGAGACGTTATCAGATATGGCTCAGAATAGAAGCCAGTGGCGATCCTGCTGTAATCTTCTTTTACTTTCTTCATAAAAAGTGGTTGTAACTTCCTTAACTGAAGGAATTCTTCTGGTTTCGCCTTTCCGTTTCCCCATTATTATTACTATTACACTACCATACATTAAGCTGTGGTTGTTATTGTTTTTTTTCCTTGTACACACCATCTGGTGCCCCCTTGTACGAATATTTATGTGTTCAAATAAAATAAAACTGACAATAAGACGTGATATGGATATAAAACCTCCGTTTACTCTTATGTGATGTCATGGTACTAGACTGAAAAAAAAGCTACGAACTACCAAGCCATAATATAACATTAACATGTCGTGTCATTGGCTTTTAAGTTGATTCGTTTCAATGAATCCAAATCAACTCATTAAAATTAAGGCCATTTACATGATAAATGTATTTGAAGATTTTATATGATATGGCTTACAATCGATCGCATTAGCATCAGTGCATTCATTTCTTAAATTCTTATACTAGGTTCTAATATTATCTCATACATCGTATTCTTGGATTTCGATAGTTATTTTCAGGCTTTGTTGCTATTGCTATTGTTTCAGTTTCTTTAATTTTCATTTTATGAATTTTATTGCTTTTTCTCCATTCAAGGAAATAAGAAAAATGTAGCATGTTAGATTGGGTGAACTAGTCGGGGCGAGCTGGATCTAGGTTTCGTGCTGGATGGGACTCGTCAGTCAAGAGTAACTGTAGTTTTGACAGAAATGATGCTCTTTGTGGGATTCAAACCTGCCTCAATGTGCTTAATGATCTGAAATGTTACTATAGACTCATTCGGGGAGCCACCACTTAATAACAACTGAACATAGTGCATACGATGTCCAGTCATTTAGGTCGGTAGCCACATTGCAATTTGATCAATAAGATTCGATCAGCACTAAATGTCTAGATGAGCATGACATGGTTCACTGTATTGGTGGTGTTTCGTCTTTTAAGCTGAGTGTTACAGTCTTCGAGTATTCAATGTTCTTCTGAACAAAATCAACAGAAAAAATTCCGAGTAGGAGTGATTTATCAACCATAACACTGTAGCATAACTAACAATCACTTTAACAATAAATATGTTTTTGTAGTATACTAATGGGTAGGAAACTACATTTCTGACGTTTTGCAACGTAATGTAAGCCACTTTACTTTGGAGAAGTGACTTACATTACATTGCAAAGCGTCAGAAATACAATTTTTTACTCACTGAGATATCACAAAAATATATTTATTATTAACTTTCTACCCAATGCTAATTCTATTTGAAACTATCAAGTCCAACCTTAGTATTAATACCTGTTAACAGTGATTTTGTTTCCAAACTATAATCAGACTAAATATCAAGTGATAATAAGGAAGGTTATCCAAAGTGTGAGAAACTCACAAGTGTAATTCTTATTATGACAAGGTTCACAAGAAATAATAATCAAAAGTTCGCTGCTACAATCTGGCTTAGTATCAATTAAGGATTGTTTTCGTCCTGAAATGAAATACTTAGAAAGGATGAATTAATGTTAACTAAGAAAACGGTTATCTTCTTCTCACATGAGACTTCATTCCATCATAGAGATATAATCCATTTGAACAACAGCAAAAAAAAATCGGAAAGATTTGAATTTACATCCGAATGGCCCTGATAACGACCACCTTGGTAGATGCTTTCTAATTTTCTACCTTAACACTATCAGATCCAGAAAAAAAAATTCAAATTATAACTGTGACATTGTTATGACATATGCCACTGTCAATGATCACGTAACAGTATCGCCAATCAAAACAATCACTTATATGACCTGGTCTCCGTGCTAAATCAATGATGAGTTAATCAGCACGAGCAATCCTGTAATCTGGTGTACACTAGTTATCAAATGGTACTAGATATTTGATTTATACCATTTTTTTCTTTAAAACAAGTCTTTGTATGGTTATTTTTTTCAGGTCATGTCAAAATATCATTATAGGTCAAACAATTAACATTTATTATGCCAGAAAAGGTAGTGTATACGATCCACAAAATCGTATTATTTCAGTGCATAAAATTTATAAACGTGGAACTATTGGATATAAAGTAAGACTATTATTATTAGTATACATTACTTTCTTCTGTATAGGACAGTGATTTGTAATATTTATTTGTGGCGCCTATTTTAAATAACTCTACAAATAAACAAACGCAACAGAGTAAAAACCCTAGTAAAATACTACTTGAATTCTTGGCACCATACGTTTCAGCCATCAAACTTAAAATGTTTTTGATAGAGGAATTCATTGGTAACTAGATAAATTTGTCGGTAGTATATTTCCCAAATTGACGATAGTCCACTTCCATTGATGATAACTGACTTACATCCGACAGAGCTTAACTCTACAATACATGACTTCTTGACAGTATTTCTGGAACTCATCTCGAAGTAAGTCGTTGGTGAGCATATTACCAGCTTTAAAGGGGTTGTAAGTCCGCATGGATGAGTAATCTAATGGCTGTCCAGTATTCTTGTTTCTCAGCAGTAACCCAGTTGAGGCGAATCCGTAAAAAATACTGTTTTAACAGTTACATTCAATCATCCACTTATAATACAATGTAACTAATCACAAAATAGTGCCAAGAAATACTCCAAATAAAACAAGATTCCCCCCATATAATGCAGAAAAACGGGTGAATTCGTGTTTAAAGCAAAGATAAGTGATAAGCCAACGTAGAAACACTTCAATTAAAGTTGGAATACTGGCTAGCAGTGGAATAGGGGACGCGCATTTCGTATAATTTGAGAGAAGTCGGGTGGACTTACCTGAATCCCAGCGTATATCTATACGTAGCTCGAATGCAGTATCTTTCGCTTCAAACGCTTATCGCACCATCGTTTGAGTCCATGTAGCCACTTCCTTATGCTTTGAGTATGAATTTCACTTAAGCTTATATCCCTCCACTATCGATGTCATGACACGCAATTAATCAGTCTCTTTCAGCATATACACATCCTGTGCTGTTACAAGTTTTTAATTGAAGTCACAGTTTTATTTATTTATTTCTTTGAAAACATAAATACTGTTACAAGGGGGCACCAAATACATATGCGCCACACAAATCTCATTTGATTTGTGTGAAGGTTGTGATACTGCTTAGGTGCCCAAACTGAGGCAGATGGTTTTCTTAGAGGGCCACATCCGGAGCCTTCGACCTAAAAGTCTGATCCACAAAGCAGTGCAGCATCGTAAGGATGCAGTCCGATGGTAGCTGGTGACCAACAACTGGTTCATATGCCATTTTCTCCCTCAGGGTACTGGGGCCCATGTGCACCAATGGTTCGGAATCAGGGTCTTCCAACTCCCCTAGGGGAATCCACCATATCCACCAACCCAGTTAAAGAGCCGGACATTCACTTTTTATCCTCTCGATTTTGTAAACAACACCCCCGCCACGAGAAGACAGTGAGTAGGACTTACTTGGCAGTGATTGTGTACGCGTGGCCATATGAGAGCATTTCGAGAGGGAGAGCGGACTCTCCCCACTCTCGGCCGTGCCAGGGCAACTACTGTTAGCCACAGTAGTGACTACATGACTCCCATTCCCTCCTATTTGGGACTCGTCAACTGGAAAGATTCCGTAGACTTAAAGGGTATAACTATTTATGAACTCAGACAAAAACTCATTAATGAATATGTTATAAATTCTACCTTTACAATGGACAACATCTTATGTAAAATAAGCATCGAAAATGCATTCCCATAAATAATAACACTGATTCCTTGAAATTCGATAAAATTCTATCCTAAAACATAATGACAAAACGGTCAAAAATTGATTTGTTATTCTCAATTAGATCTTTAATGAATTATCTCTGGCCTGAGAAGTTATACTTGAATATGATCGTTTCATTCCTCAATATACATTTAATTGGTTAGCTAATTTTTCTATATTATAATAACTATTCAGCCGTAAAGCAAAACAGCTGTGAAACGTGGCTATTAACAGTTGAAGATACTCGTAAGCTACTAGTATTTGACCACAGATGCCTCAGAAATATTGCTCGCATCTGCTGGGATCATCAAGTAAGTAATAGTAAGGTTAGACGCAGGTTATTAGAGAATGATGGTAAATCAGTTGATGAGGTTGTGAATCTACATCGACTCAGATGGTTGGGCCACGTGTTACACATGCCTGAACACCGATTACCACGACACACAATCCTGACTAGTGTTGGAGATGATAAGAAGAAAGCTAGGGGTGATCAAACCAAAATGTGGC